TGAAATTTTTCTTTAAGTAAAGTAAAATAGAAACGATGTTTGCTTTGGGGTATATATATGTATGTTCATATTTTGATGTTTGATACTTCTCACTGCACAGTGAAAATAGGATTGTAGGATGCTGATCATATAAGTGACTTGCAACTGCTGCTCATTAACTTTTTAACCAGTGATCTTCCCCCATACAAATTGGAGTAGCTGTGGGAGGTGGGTTTTAATTCTGAAAGTTAAGAAGTTAAGTACTGTTTCCTTTGCAAGCAAGTATATTCATGTCCGCATTTTTTTTTTTTAAGTAAGGAGCACAAACTTTTTAATGACTGTGAATTTGAATTTTTAATCCATCCAATTACTTGCTTTTTGAAAAAAAATTACTAAATTGCTATAAGCTGGTTTTCTTGCCTTAAAGTGAACTGCTTTTTTTAAGGATAAGCTGAGGGAAGCCTTATGAGGCACTTAGGGTGTGTCTGGCATGTATCTATCACATCTTGCAGTATTTATTAGCTATTTTTTAAGAACTTTAGTTCTTAATAAGAATAGACAGGAAGAAAGATACAAAGCAACAAGGATGGAGAGACTGTGAATTAAGATATTCTCTAAATGAGGATATTCTGTTTATGCAGGTGAGTAAATCTTAGGAGAAATTGTTTAATTAAGGTTGATGAATAAAATAAATAGTAAAGCTAAGGTTTGATTCCACAGAGTCTGGTTCCAGAGCTCAAACTCACCACCCTGCAGTCTTTTTAGAAGGTTCTCTCTTGTATTGCAGAAATTACAGAACCATATTTTAGCTTGGTAAGAAGAATTATAAGTGGGACCAATTATCTTTGGAATTTGGTTAATAGGAATGAAAAAAAATTGTCTTAAAAATTATTTCCTTATTTAAGTGATAATGAAACTTTTTCTTGTTTTCTAGGAGTTCTAGCTAATGAGCTGGTCCACTAACTAATTAGTTGCTAGGTGGCCCAGTAATAAAGAATCCACCTGCCAATGCAGGAGGTGCAAGAGACACCATTTCAATTGGTGGGTCAGGAAGAGCCCCTGGATGGCAACCCACTCCAGTAGTCTTGCCTGGAAAAATCCCATGGACAGAGGAGCCTGGCAGGCTACTGTCCATGGAGTCGCAAGAGTTGGACATGACTTAGCAACTAAACCACCACCACATATAGAATTAATTCGGTTTATTGAATATTTTATTGTAAGACTGTTTTTAATTTGTTCATTTACATGCTAATGGGGATATAGATTAAATTCTGTTATTTTCTACTAACAGAATTCTCCTAAATCCTATAAGATAGGTATTATCTGCTCTGTTTTAAAGATGAAATTAAGACATAAAGAGGTTACGTAACTTGCCCCAAATTGCACAGCAAGTAAATATTGGAGCTGGTGTTAGAATCCTGGCAATCTAGTCCAGAATCCACAGTCTTGAATACTACATTGTTACTGTTTTCCTTCTGCTTGTCTTTATTGTTTACTGAATTAGAATTAAAAATTTAATGTATAGAATGTATCTAATATTAAAACTCCTGAGGATAATTTAATATGCTACCTTAAGGGTATTTGAATCTTAGGGTCACAGATTACACAGCTTTAATTTGGAGTTGTAGCTACTTTAGAAGTAGAAGGTTTAAACCCTGCCTATCAAATGTTAAATGTGCATTCAAATCACTGGGAGCAGGGGAATGGTCTTGTTAAAATGTAAATTCTGATTCAGTAACCTGGGGTAGGGCCTGAGACTCTGCCTTTCTAATAATAAGTTCCCTGTAATGCCTGTACTGCTGACCTTTTTGTAAATAGCAAAGATTTAGGCAGTTTATACTGACCTTTAGCCAATCTTGTTAGTTGTTTATTGAATCTATTTCTTATTTACTGTTTTGTTTATGCTGCCAATTTTCATAAGTTGTACACATTAAAGAAATAATGTAGGAGCTTTCTAATAGTTTCATTTCTGTGTCTGTATTATTTAATATTGCTGGGAAAAATGTGGCTTCTGTGGTACTAATGTTCAGTACTCATGTAAATAACTGATCCAATTTATTTGTGAACTAAATACAACTTACACACCTATGCCACCATTTCCACTCGATCATTTTTAATGGAAGGAAGAAGTATAACACCTCTTTTCATTTTGAAGGCTGTAGTTGTGGTTGAACTAAGAAGGTTGTTTTATCACTATTATTCTTGAGTAATAATTAAAATATATTTTACATAGCTATAAAAATGAATTTCTGTTCAGTACAATCTGTCTGGCACTGTTCTTGTTCATTTGCTAGGTCATGTCTCACTCTTTGCAACTCCATGGAGTGTATCACACCAGGCTCCTCTGTCCTCACTATCTCCTGGAGTTTGTTTGCTCAAGCTCACATCCGTTGAGTTGGTGATACCATCTACCTATCTAATTATTTGCTCCCCCTTCTCTTTTTGCCTTCAATCTTTCCCAGCATTAGGGTCTTTTCCAGTGAGTCAACTCTCTTCAAATTCAAATGGCCAAAGTATTGGGCCTTCAGCATCAGCCCTTCCAATGAATATTCAGGGTTGATTTCCTTTAGAATTGACTGGTTTGATATCCTTGCAGTCCACGGGACTTTCAGGAGTCTTCTCCAGCACCACAATTTGAAGGCATCAGTTCTTTGGCACTTAGCCTTCTTTATGGTCCAATTCTCACAACCATATGTGACTACTGGAAAAACCATAGCTTTGACTCTTTGGACCTTTGTTAGCAAAATGATTTATCTGCTTTTTAATATGCTGTCTAGGTTTGTCATAGCTCTCCTTCCAAGGAGCAAACATCTTTTAATTTCATGACTGTAGTCACCATCTACAGTGAGGGAGGCCAAGAAAAATCTGTCACTGCTTCTACTTTTTCCCCTTCTATTTGCCATGAAATGATGGAATCGGATGCCATGGTCTTAGTTTTTTGTGTGTTGAATTTTAAGCCAGCTTTTTCACTCTTTCACCTTTATTAAGAGACTATTTAGTTCCTCTGCACTTCCTGCCATTAGAGTGGTGTCATCTGCATATCTGAGATTGTTGATATTTCTCCCGACAGTATTGATTCCAGCTTGTGATTCATTTACTAGCAATTAGTATGATGTACTCTGCATATAAATTAAGTAAACAGGGTGACAATATACAGCCTCAATGTACTCCTTTCCCAATTTGGAACCAGTCCATTATTCCATATCTAGTTCTAACTTGCTTCTTGACCTGCCTACAGATTTCTCAGGAGGCAGGTAAGGTGGTCCGTTACTCCCAACTCTTTAAGAATTCTCCACAGTTTGTTGTGATCCATACAGTCAGAGGCTTTAGTGTAGTCAGTGAAGCAGAAGTGATGTTTTTCTGGAAACGCCCTTGCTTTCTCCATGATCCAACAAATGTTGGCAATTTGATCTCTGGTTCTTCTGCCTCTTTGAAACCCAGCTTGTACATCTGAAAGTTCTCAGTTCATGTACTGCTGAGGCCCAGCTTGAAGGATTTTTAATATAACCTTACTAGCATGTGAAATGAGTGCAGTGGTACAATAGTGTGAACATTCTTTGGCATTGCCCTTCTTTAGGCTTGGAATGAAAACTGACCTTTTCCAGTCCTGTGTATCAGGTGCTTAACTGGCATGATTTCATTTCATTGTCAGGGCCCTCCCATAGCCTCCCTTCGTTCCTTAGCTCTTTGAACTCCTGCTCTGTTCTGGGAACTGTGCATACAGAGGTGAGGCAGGAGGACACAGGTTCTGCTGTCCTAGAGCTTAGTCCCTTGGGGGATGCGAAACAGTAATCAAGCAACCATAAAAGTGTGGTGGTTTAAAAGATAGGCTATTAATTATAGTATTTGCTATTATCGTCACTCTTTGAACCTGCAAAGAGAATTCTGCTTTTGCCATTGAAGTTTCTCCCACCTAGCTTCCTCTGAACCTGCCCCGCACTAGGGAGAATGCCTTATCAGCTGGAAGTTGACTTAATGCATAGACAAGAGACAAAACTTTAGAAGTAAACATGAGCAACTTGTACAAGAAAAGTAGAGGTAGATGGAAGTCATTCATAATACAGCTAAATTAAATTTTTAAGAATAATACCTGAGGGACACTGTTTACTCATTTAAAGGAGTAAATAGTTTCTACTTTAAAAGGGGGCTTTTTTAAACGCTGTTTTTCTAGCTGACACTTGGTAACTGATTTCAGTTACTTGAATGCTTTCATGTGCCCAGCTTTGTGGTAGGAGGTATAGAAAATCAGGGGCTACCAAAATAGGGTATAATTATGTCTCTACTCTAAAGACGATTGATTGATTGATTGATTGATTGAAAGTCATTCAGTCTTGTCCGACTCTTTGCAACCCCATGGATTATACAGTCCATGGAATTCTTCAGGTCAGAATACTGGAGTGGGTATATGAGTATACTCTTCTCTAGGGCATAGGAGTATTGCCCTTCTCCAGGGCATCTTCCCAACCCAGGGATCAAACCCAGGTCTCCTGCATTGCAGGCGAATTCTTTACCATTTGAGCCACAGGGGAAGCCCCTAAAGACTATTAGAGTTGTTGATAAAATGTTGACAGACTTAGAAGACAGTGCAAAAGCAAGACCTTTTTTTTTTTTTAAGTACCAACATGTGTGACTGTAGCAGTGAGCACATTGTGGACTATTAAGCATGCTTTTAGAGAAATGCTGTTTTAAAAAGTTTGTGATTGTGCCTTTTCTAGTAATAGTACTAAGTTCTCTTTTGACTGTTCACTTGATAGAAAATTCTTTCTGGTATTAATCACATCTATATATTTGGCCTTTATATTACACTACCTTGTTGTGATTTCCAAAATGTTTTGTTGTTCTTACTAAGATTATGATTTGGGGCTTTGTAATATTGTTTTGAAGATTATTGTGAGACTTTAATTTAGTTTCTGAATATTATAAGTAGCTCTAAGTACCTGTTTTTCTGTTAGAGGGATAATCTGAAAATTTTTTAAAAATTTTATCTTGGAAATTAGTTTATTCATTATGTTTAATTTTAGGAAATGGTGCTCTTGCAGAACATTCTGAAAATGTGCATATTTCAGGAGTGTCAACTGGTAAGTCATTTTTTGTAATGTTTAAATTTCATGCATGACTTAAATGGTAAATATTGAAAGCCACCTGGTATCTTATGAAGTGATATTTGGCTATAAAAATTATTACTGCTTTTTGCAGCATGTAATAAGGAAAGAACTGGAACATGGAGAAATTCTCACAAGATAAAATTGATACTTGCATGCCTGTGGATTGATTATACTTTTCCAGATGGACTACATAATTATTTTTCTGTACAAACATTGAACCAAGAGAAAAGTTAGCTCAAGCTGAATTTGTGTTTTCTTTCCATAGAAAGTTATATGAAATGAAATTTATTAAAATGTAATTTTGAATGCTGCTCATAGCATCGGAGCCTTAGAAATTAGCATTTTTGCCTGACTTTTTAGATGAAATGCTACTATACATAAAACTGTAGTACTTGAATGCATAATTTATATGTTACTTAAAAAGCACCCCAACAACATATTTGCATCTATGAGATTCAGAAACTTGCTAAGGTAAATGCATTTTTCCACCTATTTAAGCTTTTATAAATTAATAATTACTTAAGGGCCCATATCTATTAAAATGTTCATTCTTATATATACAAAATAAATAATAAAGTCCAGGAACTATATTCAGTATCTTCTAATAAACTAATGGAAAAGAATCTGTCACCTAAAATTAACACAGCATTGTAAATCAACTATAATTCAATTGATTTTTTTCATTCTTAGGTGATTTCTACAACTTTGATACCATTTTTACCTTATCAAATACAGTTACTTGGAGAGCAAAATCTTTATTTTTCACATATACTGAAATAGAGTTTCTTACTATTATTCCCTATATTCTTAATGAGTTTTGTGTAGTTAAAAAAAATTGCACTTGGTGTATTTGTCAGTTTACCGCTTGATTTCTTCATGTTTTCTTACAATTTTGTGGTTATTTTTTTCTCATCAAGCAAAACTGAAGGTTTCCTCTTTTGTTTTATATCTTATTTTATATTTAGAAAGTTAATAGACTTAACAAGTAGTCTAGGAGTTAGCCTGTGCCAGGCCAAACAGATTGACAGGTCTGGTTTCCTGAAAGTGAAAAGCAGGTGCCTTTGCAGCCTAAGTTAATTCTTCTACAGTGTGTTTCCCCATTTTCATATGCTTTCAAGTGTTAAAAAAGTTTATTTAGGGTTGACCTTAATTTTCTCCCTTTTTCTACTTTGGATATCTGTTGAGAATTGTGATGACTTTTCCAAGTTGTCACTGTGAAGTAAGAAATTGTTTACAAACGTTTAATTTACACAGCCAAGTGATTATTATCTAATTCAGTGATTTTCAAATTTTTTGGTCTCAGGACCCCTTGTAAGCTTTTTAATAATATCAGGGACTGTATTAGTCTACTCCGGCGGCTACCATAACAAAACACCATAGGCTGAGTGGCTTAAATAATAGCTACTTAGTTTCTCACAGTCTAGAGGCTAGATGTCCAAGGTCACTCAGTTTCTCACAGTGTAGACACTAGAAGTCCAAGGTCAGGGGGTGGGTGGGGTTGGTCTCTGGTGAGACCTTTCTTCCTGACTTGCTGATGGTGCCTTCTCTCTGTGTCCTCACAGGACATTTCCTGTATGTGCTCTCGGAGAAAGTGAGGTACTCTGGTGTCTCTTCCTCTTCTTTATAAGGATCCCAGCCCTGTAGGATTAGGGTCCCATCTTTATGAGTTACAGCCTGGCTTCCAAATACAGTCACATTTGAGGGTTAGGACTTAAGCAAATGAGTTTGGAAAGGATGCAGTTCAGCCCATAACAAGGATTTAAAAGAGCTTATGTTTATATAGGCTATAGCTACTGATATTTACTGTATTAGAAATTAAAACTGAGAAACTGTTTAAAAACTTCTTCATTTACTTGGGTATGAAAGTAGTGAATCCATGGCATCTTTACATCAGTAACATAATTTTATTAAAAATGCATTTTCCAAAACAACATCAGTAAGAAGAATGGTATTGCTTTACAGTTTTGCAAACTTTTTAAAGATTGACTTATAAAGGAGTACCTGGATTCTGACATCTGTGCGCTCAGCCTTTTGTAATATGTTGCTTTGTTCGACAATACAAGGACAATCCAGCAGTACACCAATGTGTGATTTGAAAAGAGAGGAATATTTCCATAACTTTTTTCAGATAATTGTGAAGATTCTTCTTTGATGTGATGCCAGAACTCAACAAGTGGTGGTTTCTTAAAGGTTAGTTGCAAGTGGGATCTGAAACTGCATCAGTGAACTTTTGTTCCCTGTTTTACCAAAATCCAGTGACCGTTCTTGTCCTTTAAAGGGTTTTTTTTCACCATGCATGATTTCGTAATATGAATTAGATATTTGAAAATATTGGTTGACTGAGTTATGTGGATTTATAGCATAGGTTTATTTTCTCAAAGTTCTGAAGGCTAAAAATCCAAAATCAGGGTGTTAGCAGAGTTGGTTTCTTCTGAGGCCCTTTTCTTTGGTTTGTAGATGGCTGTCTTCTATCTGTATCTTCCCATGGTCTTCAATCTGTGTATCTGTGTCCTGATCTCTCCTTATTAGGACACCCATCACATTAGATAGGACCCACCCATGTGACTTCATTTTAATTTAGTTGCCTCTTTAAAGATCTTGTCTCGAAATCCAGCCACATTCTGAGGTACTGGCAGTTTGGACTTTAATATAGGAGTCTTATGGGTAACACAGTTCAGTCTGTAACAAAATGAGTGTTTTAATTAAATGTATTTATATATCAATAAATTAATTTCAGAGCCCAGTGAAACCTTATTAATGACTTACTGTTTTTCCTGAAGGTTTGTCTTATAAAATCTTTCTTTTGTGGAAAGAGAAGATTAAGATGAAGTCTATTCCAATCATATCATTAAAAATATAAATGAATGCTCTCTCAAAACGTGGTTTTGGATGTAGATTCATTGCAGTTTTTCTTTAGTCAGTATGGAGCTATAGAAGGTATAATGCTTGGTATAGTATAAGCCTCCTGAATTCCTTGTATCCCTAGTTGAAATGAGAGCCCTTTCAGTGCTCTTATAAATGGGAAATTAGCTTTTGGAAGAATCTCTAAATGTAGGACTTGCTCTTTCTTGGGCCCAGCAAGCAGCAAAAGTGACGAGGTGGCTCCGTGTTCTGTGGAGCTGCCTGCTTCTGCTCTTCACCTGCTCTTTTCAGCTCTGCTGCTTTATTTGACAGTGCTTTGCACCTTAGCTCATTCATTCTTTATGTTCTGGAAATTTTAGTGACATTTTTGAAGAATTTTAACTTAGGTGCAGTAGTATTTTCAGGTAATTTATTACCCAGATCAGGACACTTTGAAAGCAAAAGGGTACACTGTTTTCAATATGCTGATACCACAGGCAAACCAGAACTATCCTAGACAATTTGGAATGTACAGTCACCCTAACTGTAATGAATTAAATTCATTCAGCTTGTATTAAACACCTCATATGTACCTTTTGCTGAGAAGGATGGGAGTAAGCAGTAAGTAAAAATATTCCTTCCCAACTGAGCAGACTCATTTGCTGCTCAAGCCAAGGCCTCCGCTGCCCACCCTTGCAGGTTACAGGGTCCTGAGTGCCACCACCACCAAAGCCTCCTTTGATCATATGTAAGGCCCATGTGGCCCGTCCATGCCAAAGCCTCCTCCAGAATCTACCCTGGGCACCCCAGTGTAGGAGCAGAAGCTGCTGGTCGGGCTGAATGCTAAAACATGGGGTTAGGAAAGCAGATCTAGGGAGAGGACTGCTGTTGGCTGTGCAGAGACAACATGAAGGGATGGGAAGATCTGAACAGACGAATCACAAGTAGGGGCTTCCCAGGTGATGTTAGTGGTAAAGAATCCCCCTGCCAATTAAGAGAGATAAGAGACCCGGATTCCATCCCTGGGTCAGGAAGATCACCTGGAGGAGGAAATGGCAGCCTGCTCCAGGATTCTTGCCTGAAAAATCCCATGGACAGAAGAACCTGTGGGCTACAGTCCATGAGGTCACAAAGACTTTACACAACAGGGCACACACACAGGCACAGGCAGTCACAAGTAATGGAATTGAAACTGTGATTAAAAATCTTCCAGGAAACAAAAGTTCGGAACCAAATGGCTTTACAGGTGAATTCTGTCAAACATTTAGAGACGAGCTAACACCTATCCTTCTCAAACAATTCCAAAAAATTGCAGAGGGATAAACACTCCCAACTTCATTGTACGAGGCCACCATCACCCTGATACCAAAACCAGACAAAGATATCACAGAAAAAAGAAAATTACAGGGCAATATCACTGATAAACATAGATGCAAAAATCCTCAACAAAATACTAGCAAACCAAACCTAACAACATTTTAAAAGGATCATAACAATGATGAAGTGGGATTTATCCCAGGAGTGCAAGGATTATTCAGTGTATGCAAACAATGTGATACCTCATATTAACAAATTGAATAAAAAACATATGTTCTTCTCAATAGATGCAGAAAAAGTTTATCCAGTCTCACTACTTTTATTCAACATAGTTGTGGAAGTTGTAGCAACAACAATCAGAGAAGAAAAATAAAAGGAATCCAGGTTGGAAAAGAAGAAGTAAAACTCACTTTTTTCAGATGACCTGAAACTGTACATAAAAAGTCCTACAGATGCCAATAGAAGACTACTAGAGCTCATCAATGAATTTGGTAGAGTTGCAGGATACAAAATTAATACTCAGAATCTCTTACATTCTTATACACTAACAATGAAAGATCAGAAGGAGAAATTAAGGAAACTATACCATTTACCATGCAACAAAAAAGAATAAAATACCTAGGAGTAAACCTACCTAAGGAGGCAAAAGAGCTATATTCAAAGAGTTGGACGTGACTGAGTGACTTTCACTTTCAGAAGACTAAGTTACTCATGAAAGAAATCAAAGATGACACAAGCAGATGGAGAGATATACCATGTTCTTGGATTGGAAGAATTGGATTGTGAAATTGGCTATACTATACCCAAAGCAATCT